CTGTAGTAGGAAGCATGTGCACTGTCATGGGTGTATCTCCCCCATCCCTACTTATCAGTCTTAATTTTTTGTTTCCAGCTGAGACACCCAGTTCCAAGGCATAAGCACATCACCTCAACTCATCAACCCAACAAAGCACACTAGAATCAGAGATTTGTAAGGCCTGATCTTTACTTTTAATGATAACTTGGTGTGCAAAGTTTACATGGACTTTTTAAAAAGGCAGCAACTACATCCTGTGCTCCACAGATCTAACAGTTCAAAATAAGCATGGGAGAAAATATAAATAGCTGCTCAATAAAGGGTGACTATTTGGATGTTTGTGATCAAAAACCTCCTGCTGGAAAAAAAAAATCAAAAGAGGAAAGGGCATTGGGACAACAAAAACAGTGAAGTAAGCCTGACAGATGTGATACTAGTAAGAGATATGGAAGTCTAGAAGCAAAGAGTGAAGTGAAAAAAGTGAATAACAATAAGAAAACAAATCCCCCAAACCAAACAAAAAACACCAGGCTACGATAGAGCAAGAGGAAGAAAAGAAAAACATGAGCTAGGCTGAAGTCATGAAAGATCACACAAGTGAGCTTCAATTTGAATTGATATAGTGAAGGAAAATGGTTGGAAATTGTCACTAAGTGGCAGGGAGCAGAAGAAGAGGCACTACCCTAAACAGCATTATCAAGAGGGATTATGAGAATAGATTAGAAGACAAGATCAGAAAAGGTACTTCAGAGAGCATATCGTATATGGAGGCACTGAGGAGTCACCTAAGTTACTGAGAATTGCTAGAGTTGGATTTGTTCAGAGTCAGAATAGAACGAGAAGGAATTCCCACCCAGACTTTGGGCCCAAAGAAGCAAAAAGGTAATGGAATGACTTTAAACAACATCTGAATGGATCTTGAAGTGCATGCAAATCTTATGAGAAAACACAATAAAAGACAACTAAATAAAAAGGAGGAAAAAGGCTCAGAGAGGCAAAATGGCATAAGCACATTGATGCAACTCTGCTGCACTTGAGGACAGTGTCAGTACTACAGAATCATGTTCCCTCAACTCCATTACAGCCCCCTGTTCACAAGGTCATGCAGCCTTTGAGTACTGCTCTCTTTTGGGGGGGAGATTTTCTGTTTCTGTGTAGGTTGTAACTTCTTATAGCCTCAGCAAGAAAAGGCCTATTGTGATATAAGACATTCATCTAACTCAAGAAAAATGAGAGGCTGAGTAGAAAACAAACAAAACAAACCCAACCCCTTGATCTCCAAAATCCACAGAATTACAAGAGGACTATCCAGCCAAATTCTTAATTTTCTACTGCAGAAGGCTGGGACAGTAAATCTTAACCTATGATTTTCCTTCCTTTTTCTTATCAACCTCTTTTTGGTCTCTCAGAATTGCAACTGAGTCACACATTTCTCTAGCAACAGGTTAACAAAATATGTATCGACTGTGTTTGGCATAATAGAAGCACCTTCCTCAAGCATCTACTCTTTGGTATCAAGATGCTTTGGATATTTCTCTCAGTGTTTCATTTTAGTAGTTCACTTCCATAGTTAAATACCAAAACACATTTTCAAGCATCACTGAAAATAACTTATGCATTAGTTAGGTAAGATAATACAAGATAAAATGGCTAATCCTAAACACCTCCATTTTACATCATAGATATTTTAGTAAATAGCATGAGATGGGAAAGAAAGATTGTTCCAGAACTAAGAGAACATGGTTATTGTTTCTGCTACTGACTGTCAAAACTACCACTCTAAAATAGATCTAATGATGCCACTACAACCACAGAACCAGATCATTTTTATGAAACCATCCACACATTTATTTGTAAGGAATGATCCATAAATGAATACCACTACCTGCAATTCTTCAGTGCAAGAAAGATCAATATATTTATGACATCCCAGTAAAATACCACAAGACTTCCATTCAACTTGGGTCACAAGTTACACCACACTGGCATAAGACTGAGAACAGGATTCCTTTGCAGACCTGATGAGACCTAATTAGTTACCATGGGATCATTCTGCACCAGCAGAGATAGTTCTCTTTATAATCTCCATTTTACTAAAAGAGAAGAAAAACGAGATAAGTGAATTAGACATCAACTTATTTTTAAAAATTTTAAGGTTATCCATCTGTTCAGGATAGCAGCATCTAGGTCCTGTACAAAAAGCCTCCATATATCCAAACAGATTAAGCAGGTTGCTGAAGAAAAAATATTTTGGGATTCAATGGAACAACTCTAGCTCTAGCACAGTCTGAAACAAAACACCTCTTTTATCTGGTTTTATGACCCTTTTCATACAACAATCCACATATCTTGCAGAGATTTTTGGTAAATTTGCAGTTAACATGTGGGTTCGGATCTAGAAGATGGTATCATTTGTTTACTAGTAATTATTCCTTTTCACATTTTTAGATCTGTTGTTTGTATTCCCATTTGATTCACTGTATCTCTGAGAACAGGAGCAATCTAAGGGCATGCCTACACTAGGGACAACAGGTCTGTGTAGAGATCTAAACCAGAAGTATAGCAGTGAAGGTACTGTTTTGAATAGTGCTATCTAATGCAGCCTTTGAACCATCTAACACAGCATTTGCTTTTGGGATCTGAATTATTATCTCCATCAATTCACTTAGTTCTCCCTTGTGTATCTCTAACACGGAGCTGCACTGAAGAGTACAGATACAACCTGTGAAGACTGTCAAGTGCTCTTTCTTGTCCCCTGGGCAGTGCTGAGTACTTTGCATGGCAACACTCCCCATGCAAATAATCCAGCTCCCTAAACATGCATAGTCTTTATGCCTTTACAGTAACAGGCATGGAGTGCAGAGATGGAGTTCTGTGTAGGAATATTCAGCTAACACCAAAAACAAAGTCTTCTTCCACCACCACAACAACCCTATTCTTGCCTTAGAGGTGGTTTTCTGGGCCAAACAGAAACAATCTTAAGGTCCATTAACAAAACACGCTCACAACTGAAATCTAGTTGTATTTTGCTTCTGCAGTGGTGTAGTTTAAACCAAGGAAAATCAACCTGCATCTAATCTCCGCGTCTAGGAAAGTAAGTAAATCCAAACCTGTAAAAGATGAAAGTAATGCTACCCAAGCTTATCAGCACTACTTGGCTTGTAGCCCTAGAGAAGGTACTTACTTCCCACTCAAGGAAAAGAAATAAACTGCCCTTAATAGTCTTCCAAAATAATGCAGCAGGTGAGATAGAGACAAACACTACTTGCGCTCCTGACCCTCTAACCAGCCATTCCAGAGCCCTGAAGTCTCTCTTCATTGGCCTTGGACTTCTGGTAGCAATCTCATCACTGCCTACCTGACAAATCACTAATGGATAGTAGTCTGAGGGTTTAACTAGGGTAGGGAGTTTTTCCTGAATGTCCTTCACCCTGCCCCGAGGGAGGCAGCAAACCTCCCTATGTAGTGGATCAGGTCTACATATTGGGCCTTCCGCTCCCATCAGAATCAAGTCCCCTACGACAAGGAGATGGAGGGTCACCACCATGGAGACTGTCAAGAAGTTAGTTACCATACAATTCTCAAAACATTTTATGACAGGAAGATGCCACAGCAAGAGTCTGATGCACTGAAAGCTCTAGGGGCTTCCACTATTATTACCCTTCTCCCAGTCACTAAATTAAAACTGTTCTGCAGAATGAAAATCTCAAATAGAAGCACCACTAAAAGGCTCTTTGGTGGACAGAGCTTATAAAATAAAGAAATAACATGTTTCAAAGAAAGAAAAACTATTGTCTTCATAACATAAATATGTGTTTGGTGCTCTTGCCAAGACCTATGACAACTATCAGCATCCCAATCTCTAGTCCCAGTGCTTGCACTGTGCCTAAGTTGCAGATAACAGTCACTGATCTTGTACCACAGCCTGCTCCCTAATCTCCCAAGAGATATTCCACTCTCCTTGTTCAAGTCATAAACAGTATTTCCTACACCAACTGCAGAAAAATTCCAGATTTTGGCTCTCTTGTTGCTGTGTATTCCATTGTGCATAAATAATGAGTAATTAGTACTGCACAGTCTTCAGAGTTAAAACAAAAAAAATGTTTTAATGGAAAAGTTAAAAGAATTGTGAAATTCAATCAGTAAGACCACTAAGCAGACTTAGTTGACTCTTAAACACTTCCAAGGATGGTGACTCCACCACTGTGGAGAATAGCCAGGGAAAAAGAAAAAGGGCCTCCTCTATCTGTAAAGAAGTAGACAAAACAATATGACACCAGCTAAGGGCCAGGGCTTTCTGTGAGCAGTACTGTGAATGTTGACAAAAATCAGAACACTGTTTATCGTGTGCTCGGTGTGTGATTGGCTACATCCTGGGAGTCCAAGGACTTTGTATGTGCCAAGGAGCAGGTGTGAGTGCTGTTTACGCTCTGTGTACCTAGGTTGCTTATTCTTAGTTCCCACTGTAAAAGTATGTAAGTGAGCATTTTCTCATAATAAGCGATTCCATTGCTTCTCACCCTGGAATCTGTGTCTTAACCACCACACACCACCTCCCTGGGCAGCCTGTTCCAGTGTCCAACCACTCTTTCAGTAAAGACATGTCCTTAGTACCTTATAATAATGGCAGTATTAGCTTTTTGGTCCACTAAATAATTAATTTATCTTTAAACCAAAACAACAACAAAGTCA